AAGAAGGAGGCCCCTCCTAAGATGGCACAGGGCAAGAGTACCCACAGGCTTTATGTCGGGCCTCAGAGCCTGGATGATAGGATGCAAAGTGCTTTCCCCTTGAGCATTTATAGAAGCAATTTCTCTTAGCCTTATTAGAGTTCCGAGAGCTCAAAAGATTGCCCGCTTTACTGCTTTAGGAGTCTGGGACACAGAGAAGCCATGCCTGAGAACTTACAGCAAAGTAAGTCAAAGGCTAGAGGATTTTGTCTGGGGGGTTTGGTGGTTTCATGTGAGGACTAGTCCCCTGACAGCTGACGTGGGAAAGCATGCCCACACTCAGGTCGGGCGTTCATCGTGTGTCCAGAACCCAGCTGGACACTTGCTGAGAGGCACCAAAGACTGGAGGAACTTGTAGGGGGTGAGGGGTGATGAGGGGATGCTGGAACCACAGCAGGACCCACTGGGCAGAGCTTCACTACTTGCCTCTCATGACTGCTCCCCCCCTCCCCCCAGTGCTGGAAACTTCAGTCAAGGGACTCCAGGGGAAAATGGGGCAGTCCTTGCCTGAAATGAGTGAAAAACCAAAGCAGATGCAAGCAACTCTGCTGAACCCCATCTTTTCCCCCAAAACACCTTAAAAACAAGCCCTGCGTCTGCTCAGTGCTTTCCAGCTTACCAAGTGTTTTCATAACACTATCTCATTTCATCCTCACATCAACCCACACACATTCTTGCCTTTCAGATTTTTTATGTACTCAAATGAGTTTCACTGAAAAACTTGGCTAAAAACTCCCCTTCTTCTACTCAGTTTTTTTTTTTTTTAAACCCCAAGCCTTTGACTGATATCTTTAAGAAGCTCCCAGATTCCCAGGATGGGAAATTTATTTATTCTGCCAGCCCTACCCCACCAGATGGACTCTAGTAGTCCTGATCTTTGCTATTAGAACTAACATTTTTTTTATAGATTTTTAAAAAATGTTTTATTTATTTATTCATGAGAGTCGGAGAGAGAGAGAGAGAGGCAGAGGCAGAGGGAGAAGAAGGCTCCCCACCTAGCAGGGAGCCCGATGCGGGACTCGATCCCAGGACCCTGGGATCATGACGCGAGCTGAAGGCAGACGCTCAACCATCTGAGCCACCCAGGCGCCCCTGGAACTAACATTTTTAAAAAAGATTTATTTATTTGAGAGAGAGAGAGAGTGAGCAGGGAGAGGGGAGGAGGGAGAGGGAGAGAAGCAGACTCCCTGCTGAGCATGGAGCCCAGTAGTGGTGATGATGATGATGATGACAACGAGGACAGCGACAACACGGGGGGGGGGGGGGCTGGGGTGGAGTGGGGGGTGGGGCTCAATCTCACAACCCTGAGATCATGTCTTGAGCCGAATCAAGAGTTGGGTGCTTAACCGACTGAGCCACCCAGGTGCTCCCGGAACTAACATTTTATATTCAATTTGTAGCTTATCTGTTAAAACAAATAAAGCCACAAAGGCCAGAATAAGTGTAGTATCATGGGGAAAACATAGACTTTAGAACCAACAAGGCCCAGAGTCAAATTCTGGTTCAGCCAGAACTGTGTGGCCATGGCCCAGTTACTTGACCTGTCAGAGCCTCTCTTTCTTCATCTGACAAATGGGATAATAGTGCCTATGTCTTAAAGTTGTCGTGAGGCGTAAACATGCTAGCAGACACAAGTGCACCTTAGCCAAGATCTACTTTGTGAAGTCCCTTAGAGCTGAACAAAGCACCAGCTTCATCACTACGAGGCAGATTAAAAGCAATACTGTCTTTGCAAGGCAGGAGGGAGATAAATCATGGAAATACATTGCTAAAGGAATTTAGATGGAGACTTTTTTACTCAATGAGTAATTAGCTACATGACCTGCATACCTGCACAATGATGCCATGGGTAAGTCAGTACCTTTATTCTTTTTTTAATTCTTATTTTTAGGTGCGAGGGAGAAGGAGCTGGGAAACTGGATTTAGGCAATGTTGGAAAGCAAGGCAGTTCCGATTACACTTTGATTTTTATTGAAGCAGAATTGCAAATGGACTCTTGAGTCCCTGAAGACAAAGGTGGCAGAGGGAGGGAGTGCAGAGGCCTGTTTAGTTCACTGAGCGGCACATAGTAGATGCTCAGGAAATGCCAGTGGTGGGCTGACAGGGTTGGGAGAGTCCAGATCGTGTGTTTGACTTCTGCTGCTGACTTCTTGGCAGAGGCATAGTGTTGTAGTGGAAAGAACATTTGCCCAGTGGTCTGAAGGCCTGCGTTCAGGTTCCATCTACACCATTTAATAGCCTTGGACATGCCATTTAATCTCTTAGGTGTCTTCTCACCTGTAAACTGAGGAGACTGGACTCGGTGATTTGGAAGGTCTCTTTCAGCCCTAAGATTCTGGGCCTCCATGTTAACTTCATTCACTGGTGTTTCTGTTTGAAGGCAGTAGGGATAGAAACCTATCTTATAGGATATTGGTAAGCCGTGGTCAGTCTGCATGTTCAGATACTCTGTGTCTTTACAGATATGATCAGAGCAATGTAGCAGAGTAGCTGTGTGATCTTCGGCAAGTGCCCTAATTTCAGACTCGGTTTGCACACTCTAGACTAGGGACTGTATATTGTGCTATGGTAATCTTATTACATTCTTTTGAAAGCTGAGATCATGAAAATGCTTTAAAAAATGGCAGGGCACTACATAAAGTATTATGATTGAGAAATGGTGTAGTTGTTATAGTGACACCAAAGTTTAGCCCCATGCCTCCCATATTTTCATATGAATGAATGTGTCACCATGGTTTCAGAGGGGAAACAGAAAGTGTAGATTTGGAGTTCTAACCCAACGCTTGCTTTCCACTCCAACTGACTGACAAGAGGTAAGTTTCACTTAAAATGGGCATTAATATGAAGTTTCCTCAAGAGCAGGCTTCGGGGAGTTACCTCAAGGTTCTCCAATGGGGGAGATTTTTCAGGAGGCCGGACATCTGCTGGTGGAGACCTTCCATCCCACCCTCTTCAAAATGAGGCCATTTTGACATTTGAAGGGTGTGTGTGTTGCAGGGGGCCGGGGGTAGCTTTCTGAGTCTAAAAGGTTTCACAAGCGATAATCACAAATATGTAATGCTGGGCTGTTGGTATGTAAAAATGGTGAGTCAGTCTTTCATCCCAGGCCTTGCCAGGGATTGCTACTGGGGAGAAATGGCAGAGGACATGAGTCCTGCTCTCCCAGGGCCGACCTCAGTCGCAGGATGGAAATCAGCTCTCCAAACACTGGCTTCTCCTTTGACTATGTAGATGACTACATGTCCCACCCAGTCTTTGAGAAGCTTCTCCACCCTATGCAAAAGGCACAAACAGCCCCCTCTGTTAGCAGTAATCCCATACTGGAGCATCTCCCCTTAGGACCTATCCACAGAAGCATCGACCTCCATCAGTGCACTATCTCCAGAGGAGGAGCATGGAGGTGGTACTTGGCAGCATGAATCAATTTCTGATTTATCTTATGGGGTGGGGTGGGGGTGAGCAGAAGCTCCTGAATTTCTCAGGTTGGAAGGAACAACTGGGAGGGGGAGGCAGGGAGTGAGGGGTTGTCTTGAAGCTGTGTTTTCATAGGAAGTACACTATTACTCAGGTCGTATATAGGAATGACCCAAAATAGCAAAGTTGTTTTTACTTAATTCCCATGGTTATTTTTATTTGGGTTAGCTTGGGAGGGCTGATGAAAATTATGAGGGCCCTCCTCATGGTCCTGCCACTGTTAAGCCCTCACCATTAATCCTATTATCTTTCACCTGAGATAAGCTTATGTATTTCCACCTCTAAATGTATATATGGATTCAATACATTCACTACCGTTGAAAGAGCTGACTGACTTCAAAGCACATTTAATTTTGCCAAGTTTTTGAAAGCTCCCCCTTCCTCTTCTGCACACACACACTTCCTCAATCCGCAGTACACATATAGATCAGGGTTATAAAGCCATTTTACAGGAGTTTGTGAAGCAGAGGTGTGAAGCAACGCGCTCCAGCCACAGAGGGGCAGACTCCCGTCCTGGCTCTGGGGGCTGAGAAGCCTGACCACCTGGGCAGACCCCTGGAGTTGTAATTCCTGGGCAGTGTGGGAGGGGTTTGGCCGAAGCTCTTTGTTTCTTCCCGTTGCAGCAGATCCGGAGCCAAGGCTAGTGTGGTGTGCTTGTGCGGTGCCCACCCGCACCCCCTGCCCCGCGCCGCCGTTGTGTAGGTGTCCAGTGGAAAAACCCTACGACGACACCACATCCTTTCTCACACAAATAAAATCCTCCACGGATCTGCGGGCTGCACACCAGCCCCTTGCAAGCTAATGCGAATCCCCACGGGCACTGGGTCTCCCCAGCTTCGCGCCCCCTCCCTGCTTTCCACCGCCTCTTTTTTTTAGTGATGCTCCCATTTCCACGCAGCTTGCCGGAGATGGAAGGGACGCGCCTCGGGCGCAGCGATCGAGGTGTCACGGGCGAGGCCTAGTTTGGGGGATGAACGCTGAGAGGAGTCCCGAGTTATGGGGTTGGGAACTGCGAGAAGGTGCAGAGGAGGGCGCCGGCGCCAGGCATCCAGGGTCGAGCGATGGCGCCCTCCTACCGCGCAGCGCGGCAGCCGAGCGGTCACGTCCGGAGCGGGTCCAGCGCCCTCCTCAAGCCCACGATCCCCCGCCCCGAGTGCCCAGGGGTGTATGCAAGAAGGGGGCCGCGGACACGGGCGGGTTTGTTGTCAGGAAGAGGCGTTGACATTGAACTGGTGCGTGCGTGTGTGCGCGCGCGCGCGTGTCCACGCGCGTGTCTGCGTGTGTGAGTCTTCGGGAGGAAGCCCGGCTGGAAGCAAACCACAGCCTTCGGGGAGCTGAGCCGAGCGCGCCCCCGAGCCGCCGCCCGCAGGAGCTGCGAGCGCTGAAGCCATTCATGATTTTGGTGACGTTATTCCAGGAGTGGGCGAGAGGGGGGCGGGGCCTCCCGCGGCCGAGCCCCGCCCCCGCCCCTATAAATACAGCTTCCCGGGCTCTTTGTGGGGCCGCGGGCTCGGTGGGGAACCGAGAGCTCCGTGTGCTCTGCCGACGCAGCTGGCAGCGGGGCTGTCTCCGGAAGGCGGACCGGCGAACGCCTAGTGCCCGCACTCCGCCGCCTGCCGCGCCAGTCTGCGCCCCTGACATCCTTATTCGGGACGCGGTGGCCGTTTTTAAATCACAAGGGCGTGGGTCAGCCTCCCCTCGGACTTCATGTCTGTGTATTTCCCCATTCACTGGTGAGTATCCTGCGCCCTCGGCGGGCAACCGTATCGCGGCCATGGCTGCGGGCCCGGGCGCCCGCTCCTGCGGGCTCGGGTGCGAGGGCAGCAGGCGGCGCGGGCGCCGACACTCACCCGCCGCCCCAGCCAGTGCCGGAGTCAACGTCAAGGTTGCAAAGGTGGGGGTGGGGGCTGGTGGTGCCGAGAGCATCCAGACAAAGGGAGTGAACTCGAAGCCCTCACTTAAGTGACGGCTGGGAGGGTGTGTATGTGCTGGTGGTGGGGTGGGGGGAGAACCAGGGATCAAGCCTGAATCCCGCTAATAGAACCCCCAATGCGGAGGGCTGCAGGAGGCTCGCGCCCCGGCTGGCGCAGGGGGCTCCTGCTCTGCCCCGGCCCCTCCCCTTTTTCTTTTTGTTTGCATGCAAGTCTCGGCGTCGAGGCCGGCGGCAGCGGGGCTGAGCTGGTGCAGCGGCAGCTTTTGCAGAGCTTCGAGGGGTGGGGAAAAACGCTGTCCCCACACGGAACCCGATGAAAGCCACAAGCAGCAGCACAAACACACGCTGCGCCCTCTCGATCTCATTCCTCCTCAAAACCCGATGCGCCTTTGTGGGGGCCCGGGCTGGGGCCGGGGAGCCGCTCTCACCCGCGGGGCTGGAAGAAGCCGGGGCCGGGCCGGGGGGCGGAGGACGTTCGCACGGACCCGGGACCTGGGCCGGGAGGGATGCGCCGCGGGCGCCGCGCTCGTTGCGGAGCGAGGCCCCCGGCTGCGCCGGCTGCCGCTTCCTTCCTGCGCCCGGGAAGAGGAGGAGCGGCCGCAGGGGAGCATTGACGGCGCGGGAGGGCGCCCTCAGGTGCGGGCGCGGCGGGCCGGACCCGCGGGTTCCAACTGCGCGCTGTCTTGCTCAGCCCAGGACCCGGGAAGTTCCTGCTTCTCGCTTCAACTTTTGAGGCCCGCGCCGCAGCCCGGAGCGAGGAGCGAGCGCCCCTACACCAGGCGAAGAGCCTGGCGAGAGCCCCGTGGGCCCGTTTCTTTGGGGGTCGGCGGCAGCCTTTACAGGACCCGGGATGAATCCTCCTTTGGAGTCCCCTCCCCCCTCCCTTCCTGACCCTAACCCTTGCCCGGAAGCCCAGCATCTTCTGTCTCTCCTCCCCCACCCAGGCTCTGTTTAGAGAAATGAACTCTCAGAACAAAGTAAAAAATCCCCCACCCGTGAGGCTTGCGTACCACCTCCTTAGGGGCGCCGCTCGCCTCCCACCTCCCTGGTGTGTGAGCAGCCAGGTGCCATGTGGGTGAGACTTCGAAGGTTGCCGGAGGCTTTGTGCCCCTGGCCACTCAAAACTTGCCAAGGTGGGTGTTAGGGCCCATCAGGGTTATTATCCCCTGAGAAATTAAGGGAAATAAAATAATTGGGAATTATTTTATAGTTGATTAGCAGGTCATAGCTTGCAACGGTTTTTCCACCCCAGAGATGAGCCATTTAGCGTAAGTGTGATATATGCATTATTAGCATCATGGTAAGAAACAGGGCACCTGTGGCTCAGAGAGGTTATATTACTTGTTCCAGATCACACAGCTCTTGAGTGGCAGAGCCTGGACCAGACCTAATGCTTCTGTTTCCAAATCCAATGCTGTTTCTACTCTGTGTAGTAATGATGAAATGAAGAAGAATCTAAGGAAACCCCTGTTTCCTTAGATGTAGTCCCTTTAAAGCCTTGCCGACATTTCTTTCTTTCTTTTGTAACTGTGTAAAGGCATGATGATGAAAATATTGGGTGTTGTGTAGGGAGTGCACTGACTGGTATGTACTATTTGGCATTATGCACTCGGGACCCTGTATGTGCCCGTGGTTTGAGTGAGGATAATGGAACGTTTGTATCCTGCTTACAGAGTACAAAGCACTTTCACATGTCAGCCATTGGTGGGCCAGCTTGGCCCCTCTGGAAATTTCCTTTGCAATCAGAGTCCGGGCATCCTTAAGGCTTTTAATCCAGGGGATGTTTTTCAAGCTGTGAGCTTGCAGCTGCTGTGTAGAGAAGGGGGTTGGATGGCAGATGTGAAGCCTGCAGAAAGCTGGCCCCTTGGGGCTTTAAGTGGGACATTTTGCAAAAAGGAACACCAGAGAGAGAGGAAGAGAGAGAGGAATTTGGGAAGGCAGCATTATTGGACTTGGTTTCCCTGAGGTTGACCCGTTATCATTATGTAATAATAATATGCAGTTCCCCTAGAGATGGGTTGAATTGGTTTTAATATAGGCAGATGGACTCAGCTACCTACTGTTTGGGTTTTTTTCTAGTTCTGTCACTATCACAAAGAAAATCCAGAGTGCTCTGTGCCAGTGGGGACTTGTACAGGAGAGGAGGAAAGAGAGGTTTGCCAGAGCGGTTTTCAGGCACTTTCAGGGCTTTGTTGGCTGAGGCTGAGGGCCCTGATGCCCTGGGCTTATAAGGCACTTCCTCAGGGTGTGAGCTTGTTTTTCTGTGAGTTCTGTTTTGAACACCTCTCATCCTGCCTCCAGACAGTCCCCTGATCTAAAAGCAGAAAGCACCAAGGATAGGAATGTGAAAGTGCGTGTGTTTGTTGACTTTTGGTCTGGGTTTCTTGGCAGCCCCGACTATTTGCGATCTGCCGAGATGACTGAAGTGATGATGAACACCCCATCCATGGAGGAGATTGGCCTCAACCCCCGAAAGGATGGCCTTTCCTATCAGGTGAGTTCCGTCCTGGGTTCCTTCTGGCTCTTCGGAGCCTAGTGACTTTTGCTGGGGTTGGAGGCAGATGTGGTTCTGCGTCCCAGTGCCACTTTGAACAGCTATGTGACCTTGGGAAAGTCCCCTCATGCCAGTAAGCCTCAGTTTCTTCATCTGTAAAATGGGGCAACAATAGTCCTTACCTCAGAGGATTGTGGTAAAGATTCAACTTGATGAGATGCTGGGTAGAAGGCATTCATGGTGCCCGGGACACAGTAAGGGTTCAGTAGGCATGAGCCGATGTCATTCCTTAGTCATCCCGGCTGCTGTGGACTTGCACATTCGCAGCAACAAGGGGGAGATGTGATTTGTGCCGTCAGTTCAGACCAGCACTTGCCTTCATGGCCATGCCTTGGCTGGAGAAACATCACCGTGAAGGGTAGCTTATGGGGAAAGGTGATCTGGTGGAGGAACATCTGTGTCAAATGCTGCCTTCTTCCTCAGGTGGATGGTCGACCCACTGAGGCCACCAGAGTTAATGTTCAAAGTACTTAGAATTGAGGAGACCTTTCCCCAAAGGCAAGCTAGCAGATTTCTGGCGTCTAGATTAGAGACCATCCTGCGTGATGGATGCTAAATACATGAAGACCTCAAGTGTGACCTTCAGATTCCTAACACAGTGCTCTGCACTCTGCTATGCACTCACCTGCTGCCCCCATTGAGCTACACAGCAGCTTGATATCTCTGGGGGTGTGAACTGGAGAGTTCCGAGGTTATTACTGTGGGAGAGGAAGGAGTCTATTTTTCAGGGAAGACCTTGGAGCCGGGGAAATTGTATGCAAACGGTGTGTGGCCTGGGGAAGACGAATGGGGTGTGATGGGCCCGTTCAGCAGATACGAACTGAATGTCTGCTGTGAGCCATGCACTTTACAAATGTTACTCATTTACTCTTGACCATAGCTCTGGGGTGGGAGTTCTTGCTCTGTTTAACAGACAAAGAAACAGGCTCAGACTGTAGTAGACCCAAATTCCAAAGCCTTGCTCTTCTGATATGTCATGGGTCTGTACCTGGAGCGGGTTCTTGCTTAGAATCTAGACTTGCTCTGGCTAGTCATTCTGTAGAATCATTCCAGGGCATTTATTTTGTAAAGGAAGAAACAAATAGGGAGCTGCGGGCATGTGGTGGGGAAGGGGTTGATCAAAGAGCCGAGATGAAAGCTGAGTTCATGTAAGGTAACTTGGTAGGTGACAGCAGAGTCACCTCAGACTGGGAGGCTCAAGAAGCCCCTCTGTTCGGTGCCAGGGTCTGGCCAAGCCCCTTTAGCTGGCTGGAAAGAAGTATTCATGTAGCCTAAGGCGATGAAGGAAATGAGGGGGATACCCTTTCCTGGTTGGTTTTCTACCCTCCACCCCCAGAGTGGGTCTGAGAGAGACCATCGAAGGCCCCACAGCCTGTGGGAGGGTAGAAGTTTCCTGGCCCCACAGCAAGGGTGTTTTTGGATACCAGTTTCCAAGCCACTGAATCAGACTGAATCTCTTTGTGGTTACAGGTGAGATTTTCTCTCAGTTCTGGGACGTTCCATCACAGAACCCTTCCAAACACAGTTGTTAGTGCATCTTGTGTGTGCTTTTTACATTCTTTTGAACATGTCCCAGGATCAAGGGGCCACATCCTATAGGGCTGTTTTCTCCATCTTTGGGCCACCCTGCCCGAGTGAGGGCCAGGACAGGTGAAGGGGGCGGAAGGGGCTGCAGCGTTGGGGGAGGAAGGCTGACTTGGGGTTGCAGTGGCCGGTGGAAAATCAGATCGCCTCTGGGCTCCCAAGATGTCATGATGCCGCCTGATGAAAGAGCCCTAACTTTCTCCTAGTGGTGCTGGCCTGAGAGCCCAGTTTCCACGGCCCCTCAGGAAATCTGTTCCTGCTGCTCGGGTGGGGGCTACTGTCCACTTCCAAAATATCTTACCTAGAACTTCAAAGCACTCTTGTCACCAGATTTCGGAAAGGTCCTCTGGTTGCCTGACGAAGAGAAAGGGGAGAGCATCATTTTTCCTGGGCACTTGCTGTGTGCACTTGCTGCGGTGGGCACTCTGCAGAGGGCCCAGGGCTCCCATGGGAAAGCAACATGGGCATAATACCTGGAACACAGGCAGTCTGGGGCAGCGACACAAAGCCATGGTCAGTCCAGGTACGGATGGCCACAAGAAGGCTTGGCCGGTCAGACTGGGGCTGGGCCCTGAGAGAATATTAGGACTGGGAGAGAGCACCTCCATCTCTAATCTAATTTTGTTACACACCCAGATACCCCCCTGGCTTGCCCCCATTTATACCAGCTGCTGGGCTCTGCAGCCAGCTGATCTGACAATTGTCATATGACCAATATCCTCTGGGCCCACTCAGAGCTAGTGTCATGCAATTAAACACATTCCCACCAGAGCTCTGGGGACTGGCCAGGACGGCACTGGCCGAAGCCCATCCGCTGTGCATGCTCGGGCTGGGCTCAAATCTGGGGTGGGACATCTCAGAACGCGGTTCTTGGCATCCTTCCTGAGGGTAATAATAGTACATGGCTTTTACCAGGCCCTGCTTTTCCAAGGAACTGAAAGTGGGAAGGAGACATCAATCCCGACTTGGCAGATGAAATAGAATCTCAGTCTTGTGATTTGACCTTGAGACAAGGTCGTAAAATAGATAGGCACGCTGAACTTCGTCAGTCATTCCCCCACCTTCCAGACCTACCCAAGAATGAAGCTTTCCTAATTTCTCTGCCCCAGATGTGACCTTTCTTCTTTCAACACCTGTGCATTTGTGCTCTGAAGTGATGCTGCCCTGCGCTTTGAGGATATGGGTCCTGCCCAAGTCTCTGAGGGCAGAGGATGCCTTCTTTCCCTCTTTGTGCCCATCAGCCTCCCCAGCCCAAGATGCATGCTGGCTCTAGGCCTTTCCAGAACAGGTGCCAAGTGAATGGTGATTGTTTCGGTGAGGTTGAGTCTCCTGATCCAAAAGCTGGCCATCTTCACTCCTACTTTAGGGTTTTTAAAGGGTCTCCTCTGCTCAGGCCTACCAAGGCTTTGGATAAATATCTTTATCCCCTGGAAAATTCAGGTAAGCCCTACCTTTCATGCTTAGGAGTTAGTGTCGTTTTGTGAGCATCTATAAAAATCAACAGAGCCAGTGCCTTGTTTCATCTTAACATTTATTCAGAGAGTCAGCTCGATATGGGAACTCCTTGTTTGCACACGCACTTGGCATGAATTATGGCACCTTGCTGGGTGGGTGAGTAAACGGTTACCCGAAAGTCTGAATACATTCTGGGCAGGCTGCGGGGAGCGGCCGGTTCACTGGGGCTGAGTGAGCCATGAGGATATTTAGGTCCCTGATGACTTTGGCTGCCTCCCCTTACTGCATTCATGGGCCTCCCACGGTGCCCCCACCTGTGGCACTGGACAGCTGCCACCTACACCTTCTTACTTCAACTCAAGGAAGCAGGTCGGCAGCTGCCTTGCGGGGCCCTTCATTGGCTGCAGGGGCTCTAAGTATGTAGCATTTTGGAATGCCTCTCTGATGGGGTCTTCTTTCATACTGCAGCTGACCCGGCCTGGGTCCTGCATGGGGAAGGGTCCTTCGCCTTTGTCTGTAGACACTGGCCTTGCCCTGACCCGAGGGCTCTTGGCATTCTGGCCTTGCTACCTGCCTTGCCCCCAGCACGGCCTGGGGAGCCTTCTGCAATCTTACCACCCTCGCTAAGTTCTAGATAGAGGTATGGCTCCTTGGTTTTCATTTAAAATTGCCCCTTCTCAAGCATCGGGACCAAGATCTGATAGCTCTGTCCTTCCCAAGTCTCTTTAAATTCCTCTCTGATCAGCTTGCGTGTCTCTGACTGGCTGCCCCTTGAATTCCCTATGCTGTGCTTGGTCACAGACTCCTACCACCTGACATCCATCCCCAGTCCGACAGGCAGCGTGCTCCCCTCAGGGAAGCCAGGGAGGATGCACTATAAACCAGAAGGAGCTCACTCTTCACACACCACAGTCTTCTGTGTCCTGTGCCTTCCCTTTGATCCACAGAGCTCAGGACTTCCCTGCATCCTCCCCTTCGTTTCCTAATACCGGAGGGAGGGAGAGCCTGGCTTTTGCACCCTAGGGAGGAGGGAGAGTTGAGGAGGGGGTGCTGACCTCTTGCCACAGTTCTGTCATTTGCTTCTTGTAGTCTGAAAGCCTGAGTGGTAGCTCGGCATTCAGGATGGAGGTAAAGCACTAGGCTGGCTGAGAGCTCGCCTCTCCCTGGACGGGGATCTCTCAGGCTCCTCTGTCTACCAGGCCCAACAGCCGCAGACTCTCTCCACCCCCCTCCTGCTGCTTCCCTTTATCAGAAGCAGCAAATCCTGTCTCAGTGAACAGGCTCAGGTTAATCTCTAAGTCAGGCAGCGGTTCAGAAACCCTCTGTGTGGAGCTTTTCTTTAGGAAGACCCCCTGAGCCTGGCTCCGCTGTGCGTTCCCACCTGTCCAAATGCACGTATTGAAGTAAATACCTGATGGGTGGAGCTTCCCCTGGTTCAAGCTCCTCATCATCCCTGCCTCCATCCCCCACAAGCCTTGCTCAGGGGGCCATTACAGGTGGAACCCATCCACCGCCTCTGTCTCTTCCTCCTCGTGGTAACCCCCAGTTGTGGTACCCCACATGTTCTCAAGAGTTTTGGAGGCCCTGCTGCATGGCCTCACGGAAGTCCCATGGTCCCTAGGAAATCATCTTTCACAACACCAGACTTAAAAAGCCTCAGTTGTCCCTGGAGGGAAATAAAGCTAAAATTGCAGAGCATTTGGCAGGACACGTCCAGCTATGGACACGACATGTTACTGGAATCACAGCAAGTTTTCTTTCCCCTTCCCCCACCCCCTCCACTCCGCTCCCTCCTTGGTACAACTCATGAAAATGTGAGGCAAAACAGGCAGTTCGGGCCGCCTGGGGCCAAGGCCCAAGGAGCACCTCGTTTCTGGGTGGGTTTGTGTGACACACACTGC